TACTCATGAGCATGATTATTGCTTTAGGAGTGTCAGCGGGAATCAGATCCTTTGTGGGTCGATCACCGTTACGGACACACTGGCTGATCTGGTCTTCGCTTCTGGCGTCTGTACATAGAGAGGACTTGTAAAGTGAAGTTTGTGATTTTTCATTTTTATTAAGGCTATTTCTGTTTTGGTTAAAGGCCTGGCGTCCAGACATCCTGACTCACTGGCATATGGTTCCTCCTGTGTCAGGATGACCCAAACTACGATGGCAAAACTGTAGACATCAGACTTCTCAGTGGATGCAGTATGTATACTCTCCAGGTGCTCAGGAGCCATGTAGCTGAGTGTACCGGCAGCTCTCACCCCGACTGACTGACCTAAACGACTCCTCCTGCGAGACTCCTCCTTAGTGAGTTTGCTCCACGTCTGGTAGGTGGCCAGACCCAGGTCTGCAATCTTATAAAAAGAAAGAAAAAAAAATCAAAATACTGCACATGTCAGTGCATAACCATTATATGTATACAACCCTTTACTACAGTGTACAATTCACTTTAATGTGAAAGTCTTGGTCCACTAAGATGTTGTCTGGCTTGATGTCCTTGTGTATGACACGTTTCTGTGTGAGGTAAACCAGCCCTTCTAACATCTCTGCAATGATTCGTCCCTTGACAGACAGTGGCACCGGCACCTGCAAAAAGAAAGATGTGGTACTGTTGATCTAATGCAAATACTGACACCAATTAGTGTGTTGTGTAAAGTGTCTTTGCTGGAGCTGTTAACTTTATTTCATTGTAGTTTAATTTTAGAATAGCCTTTAATGTCAGGGTTTTGCAATGACAATATAAGTTTTAATAACCAATCAAGTTGTAATGTACAAACGTTTTCCAGCATAACCAGCAGGTTTCCTCTGGGGATCAGCTCCATAACCAGTGAACAGTCTCTGTCCTCCATGATGACACCCAGCAGCTTCACCACTCGCTCATGGTTCAGACTCGCCATGATATTCCCCTCCTCCAGTAGTGACCTCTTACTGTCCCTGTAAAACATCAGGTATCAGGAGTAAGTAACACAAGTCTTTGGGATGGAAGGATGGACTGCAACAAAAACAGTATGAAAACACACACTGAAATAACTTGTTGAGGCTGCAACAATTCTATAAATTAAGACTTTAATACATCAGATGGAAATGAAAGTCTCGTCACTAACCACAAGACTCTCACCTTCCTCTATCTCATGTGTTTTCTTACCACGCTCTCAGCAGATTTGGTCGAGCAGTTTCTTTAATATCCCTCTTATTAAGCCTGGAGTACGACAATAAAGTGAGAGCTTTACATGATGCAACTCAGTGTCAGAGATTTCCAGTTTGTCTCATCTGCTGAAAATCTGTTGAGCGTTAATAGGTCAATGCAATGTGTTGGTACATGTTGTGACTTGTCTCATAGTGGCACTATGTAATGTGTCGTTGGTATTGTAAGATACAAGAACTAACTTTGGGGTCACTCCGAATGTGGAAACCTATTCTATAACTTTTAAAGATCCTTTCTGCTCATTGCGCAGTAACAGCCAATACCTAAACTCATTGTGCCTCCACACACTGACTTGTATGCGGGGGTCTGGCTGTAGCCCCCTGGTGGACATGTGATTTAACCACAAATGCATTTCGGGGAAATCCCACAGTGAACAGAGAACTTACTCGTTCCGTAAAGATCCAGTGTACATGGTCTTCATTACCACCTGGCCGAGGGTTATGTGATAGCACAGGTAAACATCCCCAAATCCTCCGTAGTCCAGGGGTTCTTTTTTAATGAGGTCAGTCGACCTCATTTGGAATGAAGACTGTGGCGCAGCGGCCATCCCCTGCCGAAAGACACATACATAACAAAATAAAAGAATGACTGGATTTCGATTATTTACTGTCAACAAATCACGTACAGTAACACTTACTCGTCGTTACTGGGAGGCCCAGAATTACTAAAGGTGTCAGTCCAACAAACCACAACAGTCAAATCGCGACGACTGACCGAAGATAACACGCCAAGCTATAGTCTGATATTCAGAACTTTGGCCAAGAAGACAAACTTAGAGACATAGTAAAATGTCTGATTGTTACTGTAACTGTAAATGCAATCTTAAAATAGTAGCCATTCTAAACAAAAGCGAAGTCTCGTTACCTCTACGGGCTGTTCACTCAATCTTAGTTCCGGGGTTTCTCTACACAGCCTCAAGTGAAAGTCGAAAGTAACTAGGAAGCACAAAAACTACAGCCAGGAGTACATGTCGATAACAGAGCTCAGGCTGACTAGCAGATTCAGATGTCCTTATCTTGTAAAGGGGAATAAACACGTAGCATCACAGAGCGTGGTAGAATGTAAATAGATCAGGTTATTAAAAATGTGATTCCTCCTAAAAACTGTAACATTTGAACATGTTCTAATAAAAGTTGCGGTACAAAATGAGTTCATCAAACATATCTTGTCCAGCACTACTGCAGTCACCTACTGGTGAAAAATGCATATAGCAGACATAACAACGTTCCCCCACATAGCTATGAAAGGCAGTTCAAACTTTTTAAATTCGCTGATTCGAAAATAAAACCTAAAAAAATCCCTAAAAATATATAAAACCTTCCCAACGGCAAAGTGCTATCGAGTATCAACAAAATTACCTATATAAAAAAAATAAGGGAATCCAGGTTAAATAAAATAAAAACGGAGGCCAACAATAAACAAAATAACTAAAAAATAGCACACTTAATTAAATGTCGCCGGATTATCAATGATTAGCTACGTTCTGACCTATATATAGTAAGAAAACATCACCAAGAACAAGGACAAAAACAGTTTAGCCTGGATTCAACTGAAAGTTAACATTATTAAGCTCCACAAATATATACATAAATAAATAAGTCAACAAATAAAATATGACAATAAATATGAAAGCAACAGACAAAGTTTCCGAGACAATATTATTTTAGATTACACTAGACATAGATCACGAACTAAAAATGTAATTTTAAACGGTTGACGTCCCACCAGTTGTTTGTTTTGTTGCCAGTAGGTGGCACTTTAATGATACTTGAATACTGCTGTCAAGATACAGCATCTTACTCAAGGACTATACAGATAAAATGAAGATCGTTAGAAAAAGCAGTGAGGTGGAATGAAACTCACATCAGTCTGCTCCCAGGGCAGAAATGACTGCTACTTCTGGCAACACCTGAGTTAAAACACAAAAACACAGAAGGTGTAAATTAACAAGTCACATGAATTAGATGGTTTATAAAAGATTTACTTTAAGTCAAAATGGAAAAAAGTGTGAAGTAAACCATAGATAATTTCACCGTATAGTAAAGCAATAACTATACCAGTCAATTGACTAATTACTGTATAGTATGCTACAGTCATTACCTACTATAGAAACACCATACCATGGTGAGGCCATATTGTGGCTTTACAAAATGTTAAACCTGTAAGATGTGCTTGCATGATCTTTCACTTTCAAGGTGAAGTACGTATTTGTCAAACTGACCTAGGAAAACCTTGTGATGACACCCAATATTAGCCTTTATGAATATTATTGTGTTGATGTCTTGTAAAGACTGGTGAGTTTTCAGCTTTTCAAACGTTTGTTTTTGTAAGTAATGAAAATCTGAGTCACAATGTGGAAAAAGAATGGATATGAGTCATTTTAGTCTGGTTTTGTGGGGTTAGCATAAAAACTGTCGGCTTTAACAATTGACGGCTTCCACCCAACAATGTACTTCAATCATTCTCACCTCATAGTTTCTAATTAACCAAACCAGTCCAACACTGACAAGACTAAACTATAGTTAAAACAAAAACAGACACTCATTGATAAAACATGCTTAATGTGAAACTAGAGCGGGAAAGTGTGGGGAGTGTGGGTGATGAATGACAAACGAAGGGCCTACATTCAGGGCTGCCTTCTGTAAACACCCACACTATAAATTCCTCCTTTTGCACTTTAAAACCACACCAAAGCGGCGTCATATTTACCTGCCTTGTACTCTTGTGTCTGTGCTCTTGGTAATGTGATTTTTTTTCTCTTCTAAAAGTCACATGTGTTCCTGGTAATCTTCAGTTTCTTGAGAATATATCTACCCACAACAGTTTACAGTTTATCAAGGACAGATTACTAGACACAAAAGTCCAAACATGAGTTATTCTTAACCACATGGTTTCTGTTGTTTTCCTAAATGCTGTACAACAGACTGTATTTTGACCGCTTGTTTGTGGTTTTAATACTGAATCAAATAACTTCTATAAATGGTTTTCTTTCTCTTTTCTAAAATTATAATAATTGTTATATAATAATATATTTTATATCTCTGTTTACTTATCCCTGCCTCACAAAAAACCCAGAGAGCAAAGATAGTTTGGTCCATTTGGCACAGTCAGAGATTTTGGTGGATTATCTTACTTAGTTTAAAGGAAGTTGAAGTTTCCTCGGTTCCTCTCTGTCGCTGACTTCCGCTCCACAGAACAATGCGAAAGCAGAACCATTCCCAGTCTTGTTGTGCTTCCTCTTCCCCTAGATTTTTGCTCATCTCTGCAGGAGGGATTGAGCCCCAGGAGGTCACTATTATGTTGTACATTCTGAGGTAAAAAACAGTGGACAAAAAACAGGAAACCTCAGTAGAGTAAATGTGTACTATTAATCTCTTAAATATTTTATTTGTTTCCATTAAAATTATTAACAATACTCTCAACATTATGTATTGTGAATTATATATTACCGATGGTTGTATCTGTTTTTTAAAGATTTTTCTGTTATCAATTAATTGCAGTTTTCATAATAAGGGGAAAATAGTTTAATAAATTATTAAATGATTTTGAAAATTAAAGTTGTTGCGATTTTTGAGAATAACAGCTCTTTAAAATGTTACACTCATGTAAATTAGACAATAATGGCTCATTTCCTACTAAGCCACTGTTTCATAATTTCAACACAAAACTAGTACACATTTAAATTCATAGTACTATGTACTGTATGTGAACGTACATATACAGTCTCATAGTTTTTTTTCAATTATGCTTTGTTAAATGATAATTTTTAATAAATCAGGTTGTCCATAATTGTGAATCTATGCAGTAAATATTATTTATATTATTTAAATAAAATTAAAAAAATTGTTTTAACACTATCAAAACATTATCCTCAGTAGGTTTTATGTAGCAAAGATATTTTTTTAAATAGATATATTTCTTATAACCTAACCTTGTTATTGTACACTTTTGTACAGGCCTATTATTTTAAATTATTTTAATTTTCTTAGTACTTTGGCAAATACAACATTTTTTACAAACAACTAATTTTGTAACGTTGTGGTTAACTTTAGGTTATTTTTTCTGTTTGTTTTTCCCCATGCATTTTACTTTGTGATTATTAACTATAAAATAAATAAAAAAAACACACGTCCTTACATTTTTGTCTACCATCTATTATTAACGACACCAGCAAAGCAAATTGGTTAATAAGCTATATTCAGGAAGACATAATAGCGACTTGCCTTCGACCAGGAAACTTCATCTCCCAGAATTCCTTTGCACAGAGAGCCTGGCCAGGAGTAGCTGCTGGTATCAGTGTTCAGCTCGTTTTGCCTTTCGGACAGGGAGCAGAGTGCGGTGTGTGCGGACTGATAGCGGGTCAGCGGAGCCGTAAACCCGCCTGGTTCAAGTACTTTAACACAACGAGGAAGCGCAGTGGCGTCTCTCTGCAGCCTGGCTCTGTCAGCATGGGTAATGGCATCAACAAGGTAAGGTTTGATCTGCAACTGCATACGCTGGAGCAGTGTAAATAAAGAGGACAAACGGAGCAGTCGTATAGATTTACTGTATGCAGACTTTTCTATAACCAACTGTTATGAACATAGAGCCACGTTACAAGCACGTGTTGTTATTTTTAGAAATCGTCTTATTTTCAGGTTGTCATTTGAGTCACTGTACATTGAAAAGTTTACTCATCTGTCTCACATCACCAATGTTGGCTCTGCTCCTGCAGGTCCTGCCTGAGCTGTACCTGGGGAATTTCAAAGGTGCATTCAAGTCTGTGGGATGTCACTGGGGGGGTTGAGTTGTTTACATGTTTGCAAGATCCGCTGACCTGTTTGTCTTGTTTTGGTCAGATGCTAGAGACCGAGAACAGTTAGCCAGGAACAACATCACACACATCCTGTCCATCCATGACAGTGCAGCTCCCATCCTCCAGGTGAGAAGATCGGCATCAGTATCCAGACTCCACTGGGATTTGATGCATGCACACACGTTCAGAGGTGTTAAAACACATGCAGCTTAGATGCACATGACTGAGCTCAGACACAAGCCATGAACCGGTCTGTCGGGTTGATCAGGAAGGAGCCAGTCTTTTACACAGGAGTTGCTTTTGAAGCAAACCGGTATCTGTCCCAGAGGAGTCAACAAAGAGCTGGAGATGCTGTGGCTCGTTTGAGTGTATTGTAGTATCAGTGGAGAGAGATGGTTTGGACTGTGTACTAACATGTGTGCTGTGTGGGTTGTTGTGTGTGGGTGCCTTTTATCTGGCTACAGCCAGTGCTGACACTGCAATTGCAGTCATTTTTTTCCTGAAGAATTAGTATCGGTATGTTTTGTTTTCTCTTAAGGTTCAGGGTGTAAGATTTAGCAGCATCTAGTGGTGTTACATGTTGCAAGTGAATATCTCTCACCTCACTTTTTTCCCCCCATGCATGCAGGAGATCTTTGACGCCTCAAGTTGTCATTTAAACAGGGTTGCACTTAAGATAATATTGTGGTTGACCCTTGTACAGTCACACTGTGAGCCCATTTTAAACCAGTAATGTAATCTCTTCAGTGCATTGTTACACTTACATGTTGATTGACGGTAAATGCAGACATGTGACTTTTGTTTCTCACTTCTGTCCTTTCAGGAGATGAACTATCTGTGCATTTTAGCAGCTGACCTGCCCACACAAAACTTGTGAGTATCACAGTGCGAGGCACAGCAGCTACACATCCATACAATGCCGAGGCAGAGACAGAAAGAAGCTGCCACGTTTATTTGACGCCGCATTGTGTGGGGGCGACTGAAGGCTCGCTCTTTTTTCCAACAGACATGGTTTTGGCTCATACAGGCACAACATTTTCATTTCCACTCATTTTTTCGGTGAAATACAACAATAACAAAAATTGGTTTCAGCTTCTTTGTGGATATAAGGCACTGTATATGACATGAACCGAAGCTGCTTGCTTTCTGTTGCCCCTGATTTAATATTAGATAACTGAAATAGACTGAGATGTTGAAGTATTCTCAGTATCACATCTGTCCACAGTTTGTTTGGAACCAAAAATTCCTTCTCTTTCACAAGCGGGCTTTTTATTACAGACATTCTTTATATTGTCTTTCCACTATTGTGAAATTCCTTATATAGGCATATGATGCTGGATAAGTGGACGATGATGGATGGATGGATGGATGGATGGATGGCATATGATAGACAGGGTTTATATTAGCACTAGTACCAGTTTGGATTAATCTTAATTGATCAAGGTAAATTATCATTCACACACATATACATTTACTGTGTATCTGTGTACATATGTAAAGATGTGTGTGTGTGTTTATAAAAATATAAAAATGTAATTTAATGAATAACTTGGTAGGTATTCTCATCTTTTCAAGCTGTAGGAATCACTAACATTTCTATGATTACATGAATTTAATGGACCATATGGCAGGTCAGCTAATGTGATTAAAAAATCAAATATTATTTAACTCAGCTGAGACGTGATTGACTTCATTATCTGAGACTTCCACAATAATTACATCATTTACTTGTACTACAATAAATAAGACAATCTTTTGTAATGCCTCAAATCAAGTCAGGAGATCACTCAGCCAAATGGCTCACTGTGATGTCTGTGATGTAACTGCTTCTTGTTGTAAACACAAACTTTCAAAGAGTTCTGCTACTGTACTTCTTGTTTTCGGCTTAATATACCAAAACAAATCTGGTTTTAACAGACGTAAAATTATCTTTCTTAGCAGGTCTGTTTCTTGTCTTGTCAGAGAAATGTACATGAGTTAACTTTTCAGTGTTTTTTTTGTGTGTATTTTTATCTTAAAATATAAAATATAATAAAATGTAAGAAAAAAAAGAAAAAAAATCTATATTAAAATCAAAGCCATTTTCAAATTACAACAAATTTTAGAATTTTGAAATTCAAATATTTTGTGAATTTTACTACAAAAAAATCTACAAATTCTACTACAATTGTGTTCCAAATTTTTACTACTGTTAAGTTATTTCAGTTGAGTTCCTTTGGTCTGTTTATCCTGTAGAAATTCAGAGGATAGAGAGACGGCATTTAAAATCTTCTGTATGTCCTGTACATTTAGTGTAGTTGACACTAAAAAATCTTTGAATCTTGAAAGTGAAGTTGTGAGGCTGATGCCTCTGTGTGACACTGGTCTTGTTATCTCAAACTTTCACACTTGAGCGAATAGGTTTTAAAGATGTGTACTGATGTGTGTGTTGTGTTTTTATGTGTGTTTTTAACAATTAAGGCTGTAGTGTTTTTGTAAATTGTAAATATTAGGCCTGTCACAAGCTGAACCATAACAGGAAGTGGCCTCACTGTCACACGTGCGTGGAACAAATTGAGTTTCTGGCACAGACCAGGAAAAGACAGACGTCACACACAGAAGTGACTCCAGTGCACAGCGTTAGTTTCCTGCTTGCTCTATAAAATTATTTTTTTCCAAAAGCTGTTTAAAAAAAATGAAAACAACCCATTTATGTCTGTAAGATAACACATGTATTGACAAAAATATTACAGTGAAACCAGTTGAAGGTTACAGGGCAGTACTGTGTGAAGGCAGACTGAGTAGGTGGTTTTCACCTGTGTGTTGTTCATCTGTGATATGTTTGTTATCAGAAGTTAACATTTTAGGATAAAACATGTGACTCCCCCACCTACAATAGTAGTGACTCACAGACAGAGTGAAAAACTATACTACACTTCAGCATGAAGTCTCACTGCACAGTTTGATAGTCTTAGCTCAGCGGCTGCGGCAGTGCCTCCCTCTATATATACACACACACGCACACACAATCATCACCACACATTCTTATACACACTTACGTATGTACACAGGCACTCACATGCTCACTAATCCCTCTCATGGCCCCAGCTGCCTCATGACTCTGATAATAGGTTGACAGATTCTAGTGTTGAAAATTCATGGTGACATCCTGACTTGTCCAGGATGAGAATGAAAGGGACTCACAAGTCATATATACACCACGCACACACACACGCACACACATACAGCCTGTATATATTTCTATATATGAGTGTCTCAGTGTGCAATATTAAGATTTCCAATTTTAGTTCATTGTATTTTGCCTTCTGTTTCTTTTCTTGTTCTTCTCTCTACAGAACGCAGCACTTTAAAGAAAGTATAATGTTCATGCACGAGTCCCGCCTCAAAGGAGAGGGCTGCCTGGTTCACTGGTGAGTGCGTGACTGCTTGAAATGTGACATATTTCTCTGTATTTTTAAAGTAAGGGCTGTAATAAGTATATTTGTTTGTTTATTCATGTCGTATATAGCATGAGATTATTTCACTATTCAGCTGAGCTCAGATTAAATAGAACAAATACATTTAATCATCTTTGTGCCCCATACTGTGGTAGGAAACACAGTGTCACTACATTCAACCAACTGAACAGTTATCGTAGGTGAACACATCACAACACAACAACACTAAAAGCAGAACTGGATATTTTGGGTTCCCGAGTTGTTACAGAGCCCGAAACACATAATATAATATCTCCTCTCTGTCTGTACATGCTGAGCGCTAATCCCGGTTGAGACGGTAATGTTTTAAGCAAACAACTGGATGAAAGCTAATATGCTGATTTTGTCTCATGGCTTAGAAGTCATTGACTGGTAATCAAGAAATACAGACAGAGTTGAGCTGTACATGTGCGTAGGCTGCTGAGGTTTTTCATTGTGATTGTTATTTATATCTAAAGGCAGAGTGAGACTGGTCAGTGACTGCGCAGCTTTAGCTCCTCACCCTCTGTCATTGTGTGAGGGGTGCAGGTCAAGTTTCTCTATTACGTGATATTAAGGAGGAGCGTTGTGTAAGTCATTGGCTCTGCACTCTGCCCTGTGGCCGCTGGGCTTCAAGTCTCCTCTAACTGTCAGTTACAGTTTGTAGGACCATTGCAACAGGCCACTGTGTTTACATGCCCCACCTGTCCTGTCTACATTCCCCACCACTGGGGCCTGCCCCACACTTTGAGAAACACTGGTTTAAACATTTCTTTTCAGTCTAGAATATGGATGTTCTGTTTGTTTAACTTTAATAACTTTTGAAACTGCATCTGTCCAGTTTGGCAGGTGTGTCCCGCAGTGTCACTCTAGTAGTAGCCTACATCATGACTGTGACTGGTTTAGGCTGGCAGGAGGCGCTGGCTGCGGTGAGAGTGGCCCGACCCTGTGCCGGACCCAACTTGGGTTTTCAGCGGCAGCTCCAGGAGTTTGAGGCGAACCAAGTAGATGAGGTACATCGAGTCTTGAGAAACTGGCCAAGGAAACACTGCAGTGCAGGGGTGCTCAATATGTAGATCGCAATCTGCTAGTAGATCGCGAAGGGAATTCTGGTAGATGATGAGTTATTATAATAAAATTAAAAAAGTACATTTTTTATAAATATAAGTCCATAGTGTGCAGTAGTGAGCCAAAAAAGTGTGGACACCCCTGCTGTAGTGGCAATATTGTATTTATTTGTTTTTTTGTTCTTTATTTTCTGTAGTTTAGAGAATGGATACGGACAGAATACAAAGACAACCCCTTCAATGACGAGGCTGATATACGGGACCTGCTGGCCCGGGTATCTAACGTCAGTGTTGAAGAGGCTGAAAAAGAGGCTCCTCTCCAGCCACTTGTAGATAATTAACCAGAACTGTTCTAGCTGAGTCTAGAGCACACAACATATTCCACCACCGTCTGAGTGAGCTCACCATTTGGAATGGACTGCTCCTGGGATTATTTCACTGTTTGAAGGACTTGGACACTGAATGATCACTGACACAGTTATTACACATTTCTATTTAAAAAACAAAAACAAAACACTGATATTTCTGTACTTCTAATTTAAAAAGTTGTAAACTGTGTTTCTTTCCCTCCGCTTGAATTTCAGTATAATTTAAAAAATTGAAATAAAATAAGTAAAGAGATTTATGTTGTGGGTTTGTAAGTCAGTGGGCTGTCATTGAAGTTGATAAGACAGATGCTGTGCTGCATCGATCGTCTGTTTCCTGGGTCTCTTCCTGTTTGTCTTATGTGCAAGGGAGGTCATGCATGGTGGTATCACAACACTGTCATCCTTTATCACTCTTTAACTTTACTGTAAAAAAAAACAAAACACGAAAAACTTCATTTATTTCACCCACTATGACTTATTGTTTAGAGTTTTGTCACAAAACTACTACAGGTTGCAGGGGATGAATAGGTAATCAGTAACCACTGGAGGGAAGCATTGCCAACTTTCATAAACTGAAGTGTACACTTTCTTCTACACTAGACCACGTGCACGTTCTCTTGACACTGGCAGAAAATTCAGTCTTTGCTCCATAACAGTCTAGACACATTCTTATTTCCCGTCAGCAGTCGTAGTCACATTTATGGAAATTAATTTGAACCTGCAGACATAAACACCAAAACACGTGGGTGGATATTTTGATGGTAAAACACAGGTAATGTTCCATTCCTTCCCAGTGACTGCTGGCTGGGTGTCACTATGAGGGATTCCCCTCTGCAGCAATGTGGGCGCTGAGTTTCACAGAAATGAGCATCTCAGGGCTACGCATCTCCTCTCTAACTTCTCAGAGCCGCTGAAGCTCCTCCCTGAACTCAATCAAGATGTGACAACATTTAAAAAAACGACACAGAGCTTTGAATCATATTGTAGTGGAGGAGCTGACATGATATAAGGTAAGATGGAGCTTCTTGTTTCAGCTGCATCACCTCTAAAGACTCACAATCGTGGTACAAAAAATTGACTATCAGCCTTTTTTTAGTGAGGAGACTTTACCTGATACTTCATGTCAGTGTCAGGGATAAAGTTTTAGGGTAATAACTACATTTAAGATTGTAATAATTTGTTTTTCAAACCTGTACTAATTGCCTAATGTTAATGTTTAGATTTAATCCTTATTTAGTTTCAGTTAAGGACTTTCTTTCTATCAACTTCATCCACTTCAAGAGCATACTGCTTAACCTGAAAATTCATATTTTTGTTTGCAAAGCATTTAACTTAATAACAATTCTATAAAATCAGCTTCAACTAGAACTAGAACATAGAGTTTTTACATTTTCACTGAATATTTTTTGGGAGAAAAAAACAAAAAATCAAATTGCACATGCCACATTAAAGCTCAATTTAAAAATACATTTTTTTTTATTTTTTGCAGAAATGAACCTGGACGACGATAGTGGCCTGTCAGTTAGTTGCGGCAACGGCAAACTGAGACAGTGGCTGATAGAGCAAATCGACAGCCAGAGGTATCCTGGTCTAGTTTGGGAAAATGATGAAAAATCGATTTTTCGGATCCCTTGGAAACACGCTGGGAAACAAGATTATAACAGAGAGGAGGATGCTGCGCTCTTCAAGGTCAGTCTGTCCCACCATGTGTTACCCACGCTGCACCTGAACTCAACTGCATCTGACAGCTGTTGCTTATAAAACACCTTAAAATATTTTCATGGTGATTAAACATATTCACGAGGGTAATTATATGGATTAAATGTTACTATGAAAAGAGCATTTGTTTCCTAAAACAACTTCTTATAACAGGATCTTTACATGAGTTTATTTTCATGAGAGTGAAGTTTAAATAATCTATTTATGTTTTCTTTTCTGTAAGGCCTGGGCAATGTTTAAAGGAAAATACAAAGAAGGTGTGGACAAACCTGATCCCCCCACATGGAAAACTAGACTACGCTGTGCGCTCAATAAAAGCAATGACTTTGATGAGTTGGTAGACAGGAGTCAACTGGACATCTCTGAGCCATACAAGGTCTACAGGATCATCCCAGAAGGAGCCAAAAAAGGTAATAAATCAAGTCCATATCAGACTAACTGTACCTACAAACGTGATAAAAAATACATCTATTAATGATACATAATAAAGTTTAATCTGATTATCTGTGTCAAAAACAAACATTAAATATCTCATTTCAATTAATTGTATTCACTGTTAAGGGATTTTCATACATACATGTATGATTAGATTTAGAATCTTGTGTTTTAGCTCACATTGTGTGCAGAGTACTGGCATATTTGTCACACATATATTATGCACCACCACCTCTGTTGACTCTATTCAGACAGGAAGCACAAAGGAAGCCAACGCATTAACCAAAAAGGCCAGAGTGCTTATTTTAGAGGGCTACAGTTACTAAGTGCAGGGTGCACCTAACACAGGCTGCTGTCGCCCTCCAGCCTTGCATAACTGAAGTATCTGCCCATTTATGGCGTTTAGTTTAGTTTTCACTGGCCAACAGTTTTTTTTGTGCATGGATTGCAGACTAAGACTTTGACACCTGGCTGAGTCATCTGGACTCACTTTGCAAATGACCCTGAAAGCAGCTGGCTGATCCTCAGGAGAGCAGAAAGCTTGGTCACAGTACGAAACCTGAAAAGAATCTGGCTAATGGCGTCTAAAAATGTCTTCCCTTATGTGTTTCACTTCATTGTCAGAATAGAAAATAACATACATTTCCTTCATTCACAGGAATGAAGATGGGAAACATGGAGGAGCCAACGCCACATGTGAATACACTGGGATACATCCCTCAGTATGGACCTCTGCACAACCAGGTTAGAAGGACTCTAAGACTCAATGTGTCCCATGGAACCAGCCACAGTTATGACACTTCTAAGCTCTAGGGTTAGAGGTTCTGTTCTCTCAGTGACCAGACTCTGGGCTTCTTCTCTCAGGTGCCGGGCTACATGGTATCTCAGGATCGAAGGGACTGGAGGGATTACTCTGTGGCAGAACAAGCACCTCTTCTCCCTCATCATCAAAGTACACATGCAGAACTGCAGTATGACCAGTGCCACTACCCATCGCCCATCAGTCGGGCATGGCCAGGACCACATGCAGAAAATGGTGAGAACAAGCTGAAGTCATGTCATGTTTACATAATAATATAATATAATATAATATAATATAATATGATATGATATGATATGATATGATATGATATGATATGATATGATATGATATGATATGATATGATATGATATGATATAATATAATATAATATATAATAATCACTATGGTAGGTTTTTGTTATTTAAGATACTATAGGCTAAGTGCTAATTATTAATGTTGTTCAAAGCGTTAAAGGTTGTGTACAAACACACAGCAATATTTGCACTGTGCATTTAACCCCATGCATGAAACAGGAGCACAGGCTGGGATTCAAACCAGCACTCCTCTGATACTGCAAAGCCATGGCAATGACCCATTATACCAGTATCAAGATAAAAGCATAGAAATCATGACACTAGTAAATCATCCAAATTAATCCATACAGCACTTATAGTGTAAATCCAACGTTCCACGTTTGGCTGTGATATATTTGAATACAATATTAAACTGTAATTATTTAAACAGGAAAATCAATAATGCTCAATTTGTGCTTCGTTGTAAGTGTAGGATGTACACGTCACTGTTTGTACAGAACATCCAGATTTGTAAAGGTCAAGAATCCAGCAACATGCACCTGCGATCAGTGATGTGTGCAGAATGTACTGGAGCCCAAACTGTTGGTGCGGAACGGCCAACTGTCAGATTTTTTTTTTTAACAAGACGGGAAGATGTGTTAAACGTGTGGCTTTGGTGCAAAATGCAAATGTCTCCACACGCTGATTCGCTTATTCTCTAAATTCTAATTTTCTAATCTGTCCCCTGCAGGTTTCCAGCTCTCCTTCCACACCTATTTTGCAGAGTCACAACCACCTCTGTACACAATGGACCACAATCCTGCAATCACAGGTACAACATTATGCTGGGTCTCATTAAAACACACAAAGATGTGTTGATAAAATGTAGTATTTTGTTTCAAAAGGTTTTTTTTCCATGAAATGATGAGTAGAATAAAACAGATTGATATTTCAGCGGCTACATTTTCATCACAAGTTTAGATTTAAAATTCCCATCTCTTGTGGTCTTTCTTCCAGATGTCAGCCTGCATGTGTCTTTATACTACAGAGAGTCACTGGTGAAGGAACTCACCACCACCAGCCCTCAGGGCTGTTGTATCAGCTCCTCTTCCTCATCTTCTCCCTCCTCTTCCAACCGCTCCTCCCCGTGCCCGGAGGACAAATTTCACAGTGGAGTGGAGATGATCACTCTTCCATTTCCTTACCCTGAGTCTCACAGGCAGGGTGCCGAGTTGCTCCCCAAAATACTGGAAAAGGGGGTGCGTTTGTGGATGACGCCCGACGGCTTGTATGCGAAGCGTCTTTGCCAGGGACGGGTCTACTGGGAGGGGCCTACGGCTCCATATATGGATAAACCAAATAAACTGGAGAAAGAGCAGCCGTGCAAACTGTTTGACACCCAACAGTTCTTCTATGGTAAGAGCAACAATGAAGCTGTAGCTTGATGTCCAACCTCAGACTCAGGCCTGTGAAATGAAGCAGGTCACTTTAACTCAATGTGGTTTCATTTTCTTTCATTTTGTGAATGCAGTGTAAGTGTTCCAATCCCATGTCCTATCAGTTTCTACAGATAAAAAACAAAAATAACACACACACCACAAAGGTTTTGTAAATTATTCATCAAATGACCTTTTCTCTTCTTAGAAAGAAAACTGTTTCTTATTATTAAGGTGTGACAAAGAAAAGTCCCTGATGAATTCTTTTGTAAAATCTGAATCATCAAAATGACTGTCAGTTACTGGTAAGTCATTTGCGAGTTAACTGATGAGTGAAGTCTCTAGTCAGGAGCTTTCTTCCAAATACACATGCACTTCAAATTGATATACAATATATATCATTGATATTTAGCATTTAATTATAATTATTATTATTATATTTTTATTGAGTTTATTGAATTTTAGGATGTGATGCTTATTTTTAACACATTGACTGGAGTGAAAACATTTTAATTACCATTAATTTTATTTGCATTTTTAAAGCAATACTTTTTTCTTTTTTTTTACTTTTGCAAAAAATGCAAAATATATGCACTCTGAGTCACTGACAGTTCATGATGAGCATGATTTGATGTGGTCTGATAAGGCCTGTGATGATGTTGATGTTCAGGATGAAGAAGAGACTGCAGGTGTGTTCACTGGGTAAAGTCCCTTTCAGGCTAGTCACACTGTGAACAGGGAGTGTGTGGAGTCCCCACCCACCTCCTGTGGGCCACCACTCACCGATCGGTTCAATTCAGCAGAAAATTTCCATTATCTCTATCTGTTATTTCCAGAAAAAAACAACCTTAATTTAAAAATGTCATGGACTTTTAATGTTATAAATGTTATTTAAGGTTAAATGTTTTTTTTCTTAACGCCTTTGCTCTTCACTCAGAATTACAAGATTATGTCCATAATGGCCGGCATCTACCGAGATATCAAGTGGTGCTGTGTTTTGGAGATGAGTATCCTGACCCTCAGAGGTCGAGGAAGATGATCACAGCACAGGTATGTGCCAAAAACTCATTACATGAACTCGAACTGATTTTTAATTACAACAACATCCTATCATATATGGATTTGTCTAAATGTAGTTGAGAAAACAGAATTGGTAAATAAAACAAAAGGGTTTTCAACATGGCACCTTAGGAGCTTACACTGTAGACAGAAGAAAAATCACCAAATGATTTGTCTTATAACCAGACAATAACTGCCAAGACATGAAAATATGACTAAACCCAGTCTAGCTTTGTCAGAAATTGCAGTCACTTTGTCCCTGCAGTGAAATGGACTATAAAGTTGCAGATCAAGAAAAGCTTTCACTTCTGCTGCTGAGCTCTCCAAACCACACTGAAGTATTCTAATGACAGGGCAGAGAAAGATGACACATAGTGGGATGTGATCATTTGATCAGAAAGATAGAAAACTATAGAAAAGTCTTACAATGGAGAGATTTGGCCCAAGTTTGGAGAAGAAGGAGAGAACATATAACACAAAGAACACTCTCCTCAAAGGATAATTCCTTCTCCAGTGTAAATAATAAAGAGACATAGGAGATTATCATTGACTTCATTTCATAAAAAAAATACAGAAACTCAAGGGGATTGAAGTCCAGGACTCATTTAAGGAGACGTATGGATTTGTTGAAGAAAGGACTAGAATGCATCATAAGATGTGTCTCTAACTTGTTAAATATAACAGGATCCAGGGAAGTTTGTAGTTTTGTAGGAGAAGAAAACGAAAGAAAAAAGTCTTTTACCTGTTTGTTTGCAAAATAAATAAAGTCAGACTCCAACAAAACCTTGTGCGTTCATAAATGCTGTGTTTCTAGTGAATGAAAGCTTGATGTAAGCTACACATTTTTAAACAAGTGTGAAATAGCCAAAGAACTTAAAAAATTGAAATAAAAAAAAAACCAGCCATAAATAAAACATCTGTATGAAGGTTACTGCTCTGTAACACATTGGTGTCTAAGACGAGCGAGTGAAACCTCCTTAGATACAGCTGTTCATTTGTGTGTGGTTTTTTTTAGGTGGAGCCAGTGTTTGCCAGAAAACTGGTGTGCTTCTACCAACAGAACAACGGCCACCACCTGCGAGGCTACGACTACATCCAGGGACAGAACATCGACTATACTTCACAGAGACCTTTACAGCACATTCAGGAGTGACACACACAGACCAACACACACCCACACACACCCATAACCACACCTACATTTCCTATCACGTCTTGTGTGTAGTGTAAATGGCAGGAACTGTCAGCGGCTGAGGGGCAGAGATGGGGAAACCCTGTTTTCATTTGCACGCCTTTTTGCCTCAGAGTCTCATCTTGTTTTTTTTTTTTGTTTTTTTTGTTTTTTTTTTTACTTAAAGATTTATTGTCACAGTGTAAAGGATGCGGTTTGAGGGAAGCTGGGTGGGGCAGAAGGCGACTTAGACAGGAAGTACTCGCAAAGGTGCACAGGAAGAGCACCCCCTCCCAGCCCTGCTGAGGTCAGATGTTACAGAGTAATAAAGAGAAGTGAATAAAGACGTGTTACTTTTTCCATTATCAGGTGCCAGCTGATGATGTCGCTGTTATTGCCTGGATGAGTTGCACACTTAAACCCTAATGTTGCTCCCTAATGTTTTTATAGTACAGGATGTAGAAAGAAAATGAAATTGTAAACATTGTGACATTTCCAGCTCGTGTTGAACAGCTCGTGTTGAGTTTTGAAGAACAAACTTTAACATGAAATGAACCTCTGACCTAGTGCTGTGTATAGAACGCTGTTTGTTTCCCAGCTGCCTTATTTGTTCTTTTACTGAATGTGACTGTTGTGAGATAAAGTAATGTTTGTGATGCCTTCAAGCAAAATAATTAAAATAAATAATGATAAATTAATTAATTGTGGTGAATAAAGATTGATTCACATGTTTTATGTATGTATGTTTGATTAGTAAGATTACTTATATACTATATATATATAGTGTATAAAATATATATATATACAGTATATATATAACTACATACAACTCCATCTCCTGTCCCTCTGTTCTGCTCATTTCTAACATCCATTCCATTCTCTCCTGATGAAAATCTCAGCATCTTCATCTCAGTCACCTCCAACTCAACATTTTGTCTCTTAGACCGAGCCACTTCCTCTAAACCATGCATCCTAGCAGGTCTCACTACTGTGTTATTAACTGATTTATCTGGACTTAAGACTTGCACCAGAAGGAGTAGCTGGGTTGTTCTATTTATCAGAAAGAGAAAAAAGACAGGTATTGTGTTCCAATATTTTAGTTTGACATAAATTATTTCTATGTTGATATATGCAGCTCAATTCAAAGTAAATGTCAAAAAAAGCAAAAAAAAAAACCCAAAACAAAACAAATAAAGATTGGCATTACAACCCATTTCATTTGCATTTTAAACCCTTGTCTATTAATTCGCCCCAGCCTGAAACAGATGTCTCCAACACACAATAAAAAAATTCAAGTTGGATTTGCAGTTCAAGTTAATTCAAGTAAGATTAACTGGTTAACTAGTAACTAGTTTGGGTATCAAGAATGACCTGAAAAGGCTCAAAAGATTCACATAAACAACGTTTTTTTGCTTGTTTACATCGACAAATATTCATTTAGAGGTTTTTCCCATGAAAGTCTTTTTTAATGAACAGACATTTATCGTCCTTAACTGTAAAGTCCAAACCTTTGGTTTGATTATTATTATTTTATAATTATTATTATTATTATGTTTGGTTATGGTTTTACTTCTTGAACACAAAATCCAAAGAGCTGGTTAATCAAAAACTGAAAATCTTTCCTTTTCCCTAAATAATTAATGTTCAATCCTTTTTCATCCTTGTTTCATTTTGACTCTTAACCTTTAACTTATGGCTCAGGTCTGTGTTATCAGAAATGAGAGGCCATGGCGGGCGTTACTTTGTAGAAAGCTGACTGGAAAAATCACACTCATTTCATAACTTGTGAGGCACCTTACCTATTCCTCTTAAACCTGAAACTTGCGGCCTCACAAATGGGAAGGAAAACTACCTCTGTGCTGTGTGTGCAGGTTCAACTCCAGAGCAACTCACCGGTTCCCAAGTGCTATAACCGCCTCCCTGTTGAATCAACGACAAACTGACGACAAGGTCAACACAACAAAATGTGCATTGATTCTGTTGGAATGTGTGTAGAATAGATGGCTGCAAAAAAAGTGAAAGTCAGACTGGAGTTTGTCAAAAGTGATCAAACTGTAGGAGGGTTACGTTGGTGTGTTTTCTTCTGTGGTCCATAGTTTCAATCTCTGCATGTACTTCCTTCACACTTAAACCACATCACTTTCACAAAGGGCTCCAAACCTATGATCGGAATCACATGCAGGGAATATCATACTGTGCATGTCTGTTTGTGAGCTGTGCATGTGAACTCTAAATACAATATTTCACAATCAGACATTTTTTAGTGTTTGAAAAGCGACCCCTCTCGCCCCTGTGTGTGTGTGTGTGTGTGTGTGTGTGTGTGTGTGTAGACCAGGTAGATGGTTACAGGCTGTGGTTTATCTATTGTCATAAATTGACATTTATGGGAAAAACATGACTCCTCCAATGACACACACACACACACACACACACCTACGTTACATTCAGAGAGGAAGTCACGAAAAGTGTGCAAAAATGTTTTCTTGAACATGAGAGTTTGATTATCAACTTTGGACAATTTCTCAGACAAAAATAAATTCTCTTTATGTTTTATCATTTCATTTTTCTTTAACATAAAGACATTCAGAAACTATTAAGACAAATGTTATGTTTGGGACAAAAAGATGACATCTAAACTTTTTTTGCAATAACAATAACATATAAATGGAACATATTTGATTCTTATGTTGCCATGAACTCTGCCGTCTCTGCCTGCCTAATCATCATCATCATCTTCAGCTGTGGCTGCAGCCAAGTCGTCATCATCTCCACCTGCTGCTCTGTATGTAAGTCCCTCTCACACCGCTGAAGTGTTGTTGTTGTTGTTGATGTTGCAGCTCTTGTTTGGTCATGGTTTTTTTTTTTTCTTGTTTTATTTGTCGTTCTGATCCCTCGACCACTTATTACTGTGACGCATTGGTTCGGCCGCTCTGTGGGCTGCTGGTCGGTCAGACACTTAAGTGTTGTTTAATATCCTGCTCATATAAGGCCCTGGTTGAAAGTGTGACGACCTCGTCTTCATTTTTAAAATATCTAAACTCTAAAAGTGACACTGTGTGCAAATCCACTCTCGTCATTCTGCAGCCAATTGACGATAGTCTGCTTTCAGGAAGCTGGAAGGATTGCAAGCTGCAGAAAAAATTTGCATAATTTTGCAAGGTTTGCATAAAGAAATTTCAGTTAGTGTGTTTAACACATACCAATATATATTTCGGGATTTCTTATAAGTACAAGCTAAGGATTCAATTGCATTTTTTTTGTGTGCATATTTTCTAGTATTGGGGTCTGTACTGCACTGCACTTCTGTGTATACAGTAGATGGAAGTGTATACACAGACGAGGCTCTTCTTGATTAAAAAAAGACAGCTTCAGAGATGCTGCTCCTCGTATGTAAATATTTTATTTATCCTCACAATAAATCAGCTTGAATGGCTTCCAGATGTCAGTGTTTATGAAAACCTGTCCCCTAACATTGTTCATTACGATGGCAAAAAGAGAGAGAAAAAAAAAACAAAAAAACATTTACAAATGAGGAGCAGTCAGAAAATGAAGAAGAATCTGATGAGTTTATTGATCTACTTTCACAGTTGAAAGTTGTTACAGTTAACAGGTGGACGTGTGTGATAGGATGGCTGCTCTAAAGTACATCAGAGGGAATTCTGATGTTTGTCACACAGTCATTTAAAGCCGATAAAGGAGGTGTAAATAATTTGAAGTGCAGTTTACCAAATGACCAGCAGGGAGTGGTGTATCATAGGGTGGTTGTTGAACTGTGGTGGGACATAATGGACTGCAGCAGTCTGTGCATTCAAAAATCGTTTGATCACTCCTAATGGCTCAGAGGCGTGACACTCCTTCCTAAAAGACAAATATACAGCTGAGGTCTACAGATGTGGGACACACACACACATGCACACACACACACACACGCACGCACTCAAATATGTTTCCTCAAAGGATTTTATAATTAAATTTAGGATCACCAACAATGTAATTTTATTTTTTGGGGGGATTTCCTGCAAACCATTTTCCATTTCCACTCTCGTTTATTTCAAGAGCCTGTGGTTCCTTCTTGTTTTGTGATCAATTTCTTAATTTGTCAAATTGTCAGAGACATTTTGTGTTCCGTGTCCCCTTGACACACGAGCAGAGGTGCTGACAGAGAGGCAGAGGTGGTCGGATTGACAGCTCACTGCCTGTGTTGCGTGAGAGTTAACTGGGGCTGTTCTCAGACTCTGTGTGGTCTGGGTGTGTGGTCTCCAGCTGACAGACAGGGCGGAGGGCGAGAGAGAGAGAGAGAGAGAGAAAGAGAGAGAGAGTGTTTACTTTGTCTGGTGTCAGGTCCAGGCTCTCTGTAGTCATGGACTGACTTGCACCACTCAGCAGGCCTGGTCTGAAAGGTAAACACACTGCCACCACTCTGGCATGGCTCATCTAAGGATCACTTCTATCCATGTTCACTGAGGGGACCAGAAAGAACTTTATACACCAGGCTCCATATGTATCGCCTGTAGACATGGAACCTAGAATACAAATTCAAAGACTGATTATTTCACAATCTTCTTGTCTCTCATGGGTTCTGTTTTTCTGGCCTGATTGCAGTTACCCCCCCACCCTCACAACAATATTACTTATTAATGCGACTCATACTTTAAGTCTGTTTCTTTTTTCCAGTAGGAGTATTTTCACCAGTCATAACATGGACTTTTTGATCTTTGGCTCTTCTCTAACCAATAGGTTCTGTCTTTCATCTTTTGCTCTATTTTGCATAAATATGGGTCGCCTGAGTCAGACCACGGAGCTGACTTTGATGTATTTGTTCCATTCAGAGTGAATCTGGCTTTTATAATTCCTTTTCTTTCTTTTTTTCCCTCTTTTTTTTTTTTTTTTGCAATTTGTTTGTTATGTGTTTATTTATAAAAAAAAACCCCAGAGTTTTTTCAGTAATCTCTCATTCACTTGGATTCAATTTTCAAGGAGAGAGCCGACTGTGCCTGAAAATGACATGGTTTTACTTTATTACATACAGATTTACAGAGGTGGTGGGGGGG